ATAGTTAAAACATTACTCAGCTTATTTGCAAGCAAAAGCTCCAATTTACCTTCAGCAATCCCTGTGTGATGCAGTAGGCTGCTACATTGTGCATAGTTTGAGCTTTTCAGTGAGATCTTGAACTTATAGCTACTGGCAAAGGTGGCAGGTTTGAATATCCCTGTGCGTATATAGGAATTTTGTTGGCATTGGTATCAAAACTCATATTGTGATAAAGGAAAACAACATCAATCCTTGACTTTTTAAGAGTAATTCTTCTAAACTAGGAAAACACCATAAGACCCTGTAGTTTGATCTCCTGTATAATATGGTCTATTCAGTTTTAGCGGATACACAAATATTTTCATGGTTTAAATGAAGGTTTTAGTTAGATTAAAGAATTTAAGTCTTCAGGAGTAGCAGTTGCATGCCACAGGCATAACACAGACAGAACAAGCTGTAGTGCAAGTATGTGTGAAGCCTCAGTGATGATGGAAGTTTATTAAATGGGATATGCCTAATTGATCACAATTAGTAAAAGTAGTGCTTTCTCCTATCTTTTACCTATTTTTTTTCCAATTTGACCTGAGAAATTATTTCCAACTTCTAATCAATATGGTTCTGTGCATTTAAGTCAGAAATACATACATAGTATCTAGGAACATTTGTCTCTGTCTGGTTAGAAGCCAGATCTTTGGTGCATTTTTGTCAGTTACAGCAAGTTTGTAATTTTGAAAGCAAACCACAACCCTCAAACAGTCAAATAAATTTAAAAAAATCCCAATCTCCAAATGCCCAATCATCTCCTTCTGACCAGCTGAGCATGAGAGGGAGAGGGGGAGGGCATCCTTTGAGCCCAGGCTTGCTCTTGGGTTGTATTGAAACCACATCTTTTAGGAAGGTGTGTGGTATTGCCTTGCAGCCTCCAGCCAGTAGTGAGACCCTCACCTTTACTGGTAATCTTTCAGTGCTTAATTACCCTGTCAGCCAGAAAGTTACATCTTGTTTCAAGGTTGGATTTGTCTAACTTCCAGCCATTCAATCTTGTTCAAGCTTTTGTCAACAAAGATTGAAAGCCCTTTATTAGGTATCTCTTCCACCAGGGAATACCTATATAAATTGATAGACTCATTGTATAACTTACCTGTTCTGCCTCTAAAAATCACTTCCCAACTCTTGCTTTCCCCACATCTTCCTGCCAGAGATTTCTTCATACTATATGCTGGATGGTGAGAAATGCTGTCTTCTTATGCTGCCTTACAATGCTGTCTTCTAATAAGACATGAGGAAAAATGAAGACATTATCTAAGAAAGGAAGAGGAGAGGTTCAAAACAAATTGATTGGAAGTGGCATTTTCTCTTGATTGCAACTCATTTCTTCAATACTGATAAGCAGTGCCATGTCCTAAACCACACCTGGCACAAACCAGCCAACCTCCAGTGGTGGGGTCAGCTCCTTTCTGGGGAGCTGTTGCTCTTTGTAGCACTTGAGGATGTAGAAAGTGCTTTACAGAGAAGCACGTTAGGTTCAGGAACATTGGCTAAAGCAGGGATAACCTGTGTGATGCTCTGCAGAGTCATGGTGAAATCACAGAAACCCCCAACCACTTAATTTAGCAAGTCATGTTAAACACAAAGGAACAGTTACAATTTCACTACCAATTTGCTGTCAAGAAGTTGTGTGTCACCCTACCCCTTCAGTTATTAATTTATATAATCAGCATTTACCTTTCACACGATGAAAACATTAGGACAGACTTGCCATTGTAGAACATCACTAGATCACGACAAAAATGTGATGCAGTCCCCATAACATCAAAATGTTGGTCTGTAATATTAGCTGTTTATACTGTAATATTCGCTATTTGTAGCTGACCAGGTCTAAGCATTTAGTGTAAAAGGAGAAAGGAATTCAAAATAAGAAAGTGAATGCAGCTCTCCCCCAAGGAGGAGCCATGATTAGAATTCAACCTTTGCTGGTGGTGTAGTTCTTGTGTGTACCCTACGGGTGTAAGTTCTGCAGTGGTGCTTTGTTTCAAACATCTTCATTTTTCCTCTCAGGATGAAGCAAATGTTTTAAATTACAGCTGTAGCATGGAAGAGAGAATTCAAATGAAGCACAAATATGAGTCATGAAAGTGTTTGTGCCTTATTTTCAGGGTAATCACTAAACACCTGCTAAATTACATTTTAAAAAATTACCCAGTATTTCACAGTGGGTTTTATCCTCTTGCTTATTATTTTCTCTCTTAAGCCCCACTCTCAATCCTTGATCTGCGTGGGAAGATTGTCTCATCCATGCAGAGCTCCCAAAACTCAGCAGAGCTCTACATGTACTGATGCTCTGCCCAGGCAGGGCTGATTACAGGACAAGGACTGAGGTTTGTGCTACAGGGACAGACCTTGGGGCCTTTAGGCAGAGCCTCGGCAAGCACTGGGTACACCAGCACAGCATGAGAGAGGAAATCATTACCCAGAAAAAAACCATAGACTTTTTCTGAAAGCTAGTGCAGCAGAAATAAAAAACCAAAAGTGACTCATCCACACTGATTGTGTCTAAACTTTACTTTCCCACATGTTGCTGTTTCTTCTGTTAGCAACTTTAGTGTTGTAAAAGTACATCATGGAGAAGAATGCTGTAGATGGGCACTCTCCTCCCTGAGATGTGTAGTGTATACTCAGTTACTGAGATTCCTGGGAACATGGTGGAGAACACATGCTCAGTTGTCTGGTTTGCTTTTTATGTTTTCTTTAGTTGTTTTTCAGTCTGGCACTGAGTGGGCAGACAAGACTCTTGAACAATCTGTAATTACATTGTGTCACAGTTGATGAGGTTACAAAGGAGTAAATATCTAGTTGGTTTTAGAGAGGATATTTTTAACAATACTCACTCTACGTCTAATAGAGTGCATCTGTGTCCTCTGTGGGCACTTTGCCTTAGATAATATAAAAGGAGAGCAATGGGGAAAAGAGCAGCATAATTATATCTGCATAGTCTTCAGCAGAATCAGTTTCTGCAAATACACACTTGACATTTCAACTATTTCATTCCAGTGCTGCTCCTATTGATGCCAGTGGCATCTCTGCCCTTGAATAGGAATAGGATTGAATTCTGACTGTTGAATCTCCTATGACAAGAGAGGTGGAAGTTTCCCAGCATGACCTGATTGCCATAGGGAAAGAGAAAAGTTTTATTAGACCATCATGTCAGTAATTCTTGACCTGGGGTTGTGACTGTGTCTTGACAACCTTCCCTTCTTTTGGATCACAAGGAGAGACCAGCAATCCAATATATTTTCCTGTTGTAACATGGGTCACAGCACAAAATAAAATAGTTCCATCAGCCTGCCTCTGCTGGATTGTTACCTGCTGTGTTTCCACTTCTGCTAGCCAAATGTTGGCATCTCAGTGATACAGAGCAGCCTGCTCTGGACAGTATCACATATCTAAAGTCATATGAAATCATATTGCATTTATACCACTCAGAGCTGAGGGGAAAAAATCCTTTTAAAGAGTCAAGGGCCACTTTCATTTTATAGTGGCAATGTAGAAAGTTTTGTTTGAAAGGCTCTTGGATACTGATGCTTGAGGTCCTTTGGTGAAGCAGTTACTGGACGCACTCTTTGTCATATTTATTAATTTTTTGTTCTCCAGTGGCATCTACTAGTGCACGTCTGGTGCAAACATCCAGGGTGACATTGCTTGAAAGCCCATTATTTCCAGCCTCCAGGGCAGGTGTGGGAACAGCCAGACTGACTTCCATGAAGCAGCATCAGCTCACTTCAGCTGTTGCTCTACCTTTGCAACCTGAGGATGAGACTCAGGCTATTGGGAACATCCCCTGCCTCTCAGCTTCAACATTCAAGGCTTTGCAAGTAGATTGACCTTGAGCAGCAACAGATTCCCTCTGCACATTGTAATGAAATGGCAGAACTCCTCTCCATAGAGGGATATTATTCCTTGGCCTTTAGGAGAAATAACTGTTTAAAATACCTATAGGAAAATAAGACAAAATTGAGAAAAGGCGATAGTACACTTAATTTGGTAAAACTAGGACATAAGTGCAGACCTATTTTCTAGAGTCAACTGCTGAATTTTTGAAGAGATTACTAATAATTTGTTTTTGTTTTCCTAGCCTTGCTCTGTCTCCCTTCTTTTCAGCATCTGATAATAGAACCACCTATGCAATACAGCAGAAATGATCAAGAAATCAGGGGAGTGGTTAGGTGATCTGCCTCTTGAGCAGCCTGCTATGAACCATCTTCTGAATGAAAAAATTCAGATGCAGTGTAGGAGAAATCCATCAGCGCTTGCTTGCTTTTTCCCCTCTCTTTCCTCTAGCCACAGGAGACCAAAGCAATCTCTATCCCCTGAGCCTGTTGTCCTATGGAAGGATTATCCCTTCCTCCAGCATGAAGGGTTATTTGTGTCTTCTTTTCATCTACTATTTACTCTATTTTCCTTGTCTTGACGTTTTTCCCTCTCTTAAACAGTGTTGCTCTGTTTTTGGCAGTAAGGAGAGCAGCACACAACAGAGCCAGGCCTGCCTTCATCTACAAGGCAGAAAGAAAAGAGTCCTTTTCCTTCTGGCTTTAACATACTTTGTGAGATCTCTGCCTAATCCTCACCATTCTCTTTCTCTGCTGCTGCTCCTCCTTTGGGCTGCCCACTCAAACACTCCTCCTGCTACTCTTCCCTCTCCTTGTGATGTAAAACCTCAACATCCAAGTAATGAATGCTGTCTCACCTCTTCCTCCTCACTCATCTGCCTGCAAGGTGAATGAACGCCCTCACAATGGAAGGAGGAGATAAGAAATTCCCCATGGAAATAGCACAGATACTTAAAATAATTTGGAGCAAAAATCCCTGCAGGTTTATTGAAAACACCCCCCTCGACACACAGAGATTTATTTATCTGCTTTGCTGCATTTTGCTTATGTCAAGAGCTGGATTGCTCCTGTACAGCCCCCTCGCCAGGCAGATAATTGCTACATATTCTTTTGTACTGCTGCCACCACCTCCACCATCGGGCGTTTTCCCAAACAATTGCCTGAGCAGCCTCAGAGCAATCCATCTCCCTGCCGACACTGCTTTGGTATTAGGGGTCTCCCAGGAGCAGGTGAGAGTCTTGCCTCTTTTCTTGAAAATCAAATGAAGTAAATGCGCTGCATTTCTCCTTCCTTTTGCAGATAATTAGCAAAGATGTGAAATAAAGCCTGGGTAGCTCTCTGAAAGCTCCAGCCTGTCCTCGATGGTATCTGGTTGGCCATCATTTCCATGCAGGCACACCAACCTGATGTAGTGTCATTTATCTTTACCTTTTGTTTACAGCCACTCAGCCAGTTGTCACTCTGTGTGACAGTGCCTGTATTCAAGCCAATATGAATTTATTTTTCAAGAAAGACTTTCTGAGAGCAAAGCTGATGCCTCACTAAGGATCCAACTAAACTGCATTGCTGGCAAGACCTTTTCCTTCCCCATCATCCATTATATTAATGATTAAACAAATGATAGCGTAACCTGGCCTTTCTCTTTTTTTGTTATTTCCTGCTCAGAGTTTCTTCCACGTGCTGATACTTATCTTTTCAGCTGAATAGTCTTTAAAATCTATTGCTATGCATTATGGCAATGACATTTTTTAGGTGTTCTTTGATTTCCTTCACCTGTCTCCAGCTCCTTAAGATTGGTTTTCTTCTCAGCTCCCTAGACATGGGACTGTCAGACTCCATTGCTGTAGACAGCTGGAGACCCCAAGAGTGCCAGGACTAACCATGATTTATCCTAGAAGGATGTCTGACAAATGTGACATTAGTGTGTGTGAGGCAGGGCATAAACAACTTTTTGTGTGTTGCTGTAGTCACAGCAGCAAGTTTTGGTTTTGAGCCTCTTCCTTTTCTTCCCTTCCCTTTTCCCTGGCTGCACAGTGAAGATGAGAGGAGAAGGGCTGCATGCAGGGGCAGCATCCCAGGGAGAGCTGGGCCACATCAGTTTATCCTCCTCTTGCCTGCACTCTGTGGCAGTGTGCAGGCAGCAGCCTCTTTGCCGTGCCCTTGGCCAGAGGCAGGAGGACGCCCTCACTCCCTGGCTTTCCTGCATTGTTTCCTTCTGGACAAAGGCAAAGCTGGAGGGAGACAAAGTGCAGGAACTTTTTTCCATGGTGTGTACCAGAAACAGGTTCAGCAAAAGAGTTTGCTACATTGTAGACAAGTAATGACTCTCCCTTTTTACTGTTAATATATTCATTGCCACAGTGAATATTTCATTTCCCAGTACTAATGCAGCTCAAGAACCAAGGACATGTGTATTCCCTTCCCTAATGTCTCATACCCTAACAGCATATAATACCGAATTTCACAAAAAAGGCTGGAGGACTAAGGACATACCTTAAACTGCTTCCAGTCTGTCTACAACTTCAAAACCAAGAACCATATGCAGGGCCTAAATATATAACTGGATGAACTATTTTATGCAAAACTTCTGATGTACCAAGAAGTTTCCATGATACTAAATATTTACATGTAAAAAAAAAAGTCATCTCACTGTGAATTTTGCTTTCTAATTTCATAGGAAGTATGCTTCTTTGTAATACTGTCAGGGTGGTATATTTCATTTTTTTTTAAATTGGAAAGTACATTTTAGCTAAAAATGGCATGAAAATTTATTCCAAAAAGTTCTAAATTCTTAACATCAGATGAAAAATAAAATATTTTCATAGATGAAGCATTTTACCTGATGTAATGGTTTTAAAATATTTTTCTGTTTGCAGATAAGTAACAAAGTAGTTTGAAATGAGAGTCATTTCAACATCATTTTTTCAGAATCACTAGTGAGATAAAAAACCCATTATCTGTAAAGCTCACACTAGAAAATCTAATTCATGAGAGTTATGTTGAAAGCATCTTGTGATCTTTAGATGGTAGATGCTGGCACGTGTATTTAGTATATATATGTGTATGTGTGTTTATATATGCACCCATATGAAAGCATGAGCAGATATTTATAAACAAGGGCATTGTGCTACAGGGGTTTGCCCTCAGATGTAGTGGCTCCATATAGCTCATGGAGAGGCATGCAGTCAGCATTATTGTGGATATTATTTCTTTACAGCTTTGGACTCAGGCCAAGACTTAAGCACACAGTTATATTTGAGTGTATCAGTGCTTGCACTGAGCTTTGTGTGGAAGTTTTCCTTAAGTCTTTCCCAAAAATCTCCCATGAATACACAGTGTGGATTTTGTTACTGACCCTTTTAAGAGTCCCCCAGTCCCCAAATTGTCTTTTGCTTTGGCAGCCATGGTGATGTAATACTTGTGTGTGCTGGCAGTGGTACATAGGATGCTGAAGGCAGTGGTTCCAAGCCTCTTGGAGAAGGTGTTCTTGCTGCCATCCCTGGCAATATCAGCAGAGATAAATTCAGTTCCAAGCCTTCTGTGGTGGGCATGAATCCAGCAACATGGCCCTGGGGCTGTATCTCAGTTTTGCCTGCCTCCTGGGTCAGGGTGGGCTGCCTTTGCCTTTATCCATGGACTTTATCCAGGGTGTATTGAGTGAGAGGTGCAGCAGGAGCAGCACAGCCTGCTCAGCGATGCCCGGCGTGAGCGCTCCTGGGGCGCAGGTGCCACCTCGAGCTGTAGGTGAAAGGCAAGGCAGGGAAAACAAGCAGAGCAGCCTTTGGCTGCACAGAGCTGCAGATCAGGTCCCCAGTGCCCTGCTCCCTGCTGATGGACAGCAAGTGTTGTGGAGGCAGTGTAGCATAGCTTGTTTAATGCTGCATTATGGTAATGAATACCGGGGAGCCATTAACACGGGAATCTCGGATTGCAAATATAACAAACCACACACTTCAATGTTTTCTAGCAGTGTCCTCTTTGGAGCTGTGAGCACATGATTTTATTTTTAATCAACTTTCATCCCAAAGCAAATTTTCCCAGCTAAATACCTCTTTAATCAATCTATTCACAAATGTATATATATTTATTTTTAATAACATTTTAAAATATTTGCTAGAAACATAATGACAGTTATTTTTAACCATGGTATGTTCTTTACCTATTTAATGTTATACAACCTTTCTAAAACCAAATTAAGCAAAAACATTAGCATCAATCCATTGAATTCAGGTGCTATTAAAATAAAGTAGATGTTTTCAAACACTAGAATGAATGGAAAAATATTGCCTTGACTGTCAGATTGCATTTCTTTCCCGTTGAAGCTAAGTGGGTTAAATTAAGTGACTAATTAACTATGCATCTGCACAATTAGGTGGGCATTTTTATTTTGTTTAACTTATACATTTATTTCCAACTTTGAAAAAAGAACTGTAACAAGACAGGGGGAAAACATTCCCCATAGCACTACTGTAGTGTGGTTTTTACTATCATTTCCATTGAAGTGCTGCTGTTAATTACTTAGGCGTATAACTCTGGCATAAAAATTTGCACAATGGTGGAATTTATCAGAGAAGATTTTGCTGAGTTTTATTAACTGTTGTTTTTAGGTTAGGAAAGCTGAAACAACATCCAACAACAATAACCACATTTGTTGCAGGTGTTCTGAGTCTCTTTTTGTTGTGAACTGATTTGGTCCAGTCTGGCACTGGGATAAAATTTCCAAAACCATCTCTGGAGCTGCTGCCTGGACTTTTGCCTGTGGTTGCATGAGGTCAAGGCAGGTGCTGCTTTGCACCTGAGGAGCTTCCCAGGTGCCCAAGCCAGTCTGGAGCAAAAGCAGCAATCACAGTTTCAGTTTCTTCAGTTCCCCTTCTGAAGTGCACATGGAGGTTCACAAACCTCCAGCAAACATTCAGTGGAAGAAGGGCACCCAAGGCTTCTCCACTTGGAATGAAGGTCTTGCTTCCCATCCTTTACACTGCAGAACTGCATCTGGCTGCAGCATTGTGCTGGATTTCTCACTGAATTTTCTCTTGCACAGAAAAACCAGAAGTGCTTTTTAGTGCTGCCATTCACCAAACCTCCTTTCCAAGAGGGTTTTTATCTTGGTTCTTGCCAGAATTCCTGTCACTGGATGGTACAAATGCTGTAAATGGACTAATATGGGCCCAGCAAGTGCTGGGACTGCTGCTTTGAGCTGAGCTTTTGAAAATAATGAGCTGGATTGTCAGAGTCCTTGGTCAGCAAGGCAAGAGAATGAGAACCCTGCTGCTCCCCTGCTCAGTTTGCAACTCCAGCTGCTGGCAGTGGCAACAATTCAACTGAAATTCCCTCCAGAGAGAAATGTCTTCGGCAAGATGGAAATGTTGAGATGTTTTTTCTCCTCCCCTGTAATTTTGTGCCTCTTTTGGCATCAGATGCCTTGTGTCTTCATACAAAAGTTCTTTTCATTTTCTTTTTTCCTTTATTTTAAGCTGACATTTTGATTCTGCCTTAATTAAACCACTTTGGAAGCAGCATGACACTGTTTTGGAATGAGTTGCACTGGTACAAGTTTTGTGCAGAGGCATCTTTGTTTCAGAGTGACTACATCCCTTCTGACAGTCCTCCCACAGCTAGCCCACCTTGCCTTGCTTCAGGCCTGCATCAGGATAGGTTTTTTTACCTGCATGAATCCTACTGCTCCACAAACATCTGAGCAGATGTCACAGGGCACTTTTCATGCCAAGAGAAAACCTTTTTTGCCTTTTCTCCTGTGCTTTTCTGCTTGCCTGACAACCCTCTTGCTCCTTTTCCCCCTCCTCCCCCTCCTCCTCCCCTTCCTCCTCCTCCTCTTCCTCCTCTCTTCCATTCAATTACTGACCCAGTGTGGATGTCATGCCTCAGGATTTCTCAGGGCTTTTTTCTCTCCCAGGAAAAGAGCATGTCCAGTCCTCACTGGATCCGTTCTTTGCTGTGACCTCCCAGTGTCTGGGGCAGAACATACAGGAGGAAAACACTTGTGGGGACAAGGGCCAGCACCCCACTGCATCCAAGGAACACGTGTGGCTTTACTGTGATACAAAGATGCTCTCTTGCTACTCCCTCCACCCAAAGTTGTGCACATGATTTTTCCAAGTTTTAAATAGTTATAAGTATATACCAAGTTTTATATAGTTATAAGGTTGTTAAAAGATAAGTGATTTTTTTTTTTGGTGTTGCCCTTCAAACCCACCTCCTCCTGCCCTGCTCATATGGTGCTCCTACAGCTTTATACTTTAAACAGCTTTGTTTTGTTCCAAGTGTCTAATTTTGCAGCAATTGGCCAAATATCCCACCTCTCCCTTCATGCCCATGTGCTTTATCTTTCTCTGTCTTGCCTCTTCAAAAAGCATTGTAGATATTCAAGTATTTTTGCTTAGCAGATTAAAAAAACCCAAACAACTGGTTCAGAAAAGCCATGAGTGAACTGCCTTTTAGGTTTTTAAACTATATTTATAGCAGAGGAGGTAAATTGCCAAAATTAAACCATGATAACATGACAAAAACCCATGGAGATGATAAAGCAGAAATTCCTAGACATCCTCCCTTACAACTCCACTTCCAAGCCATGAACTCATTCCCACCAGCTTGGGATGTATTTCTGAGACTGGAAAGCACCTTCATGAGGAACTATTGGTTATTTTTAGGAAAATCCTTGGAAATTTTAACAATTGAGATTCAAATGGTTTATTATTAAGCCTAGTTATTTTAAGGTGCACTTTTATGATCAAAAATCATATGGGAGAGCATTTAAAGAAAGAAAATTAGTGCTCAGTTTCTGGGCTGGTCTATGGAATAATGGACAGCCTCTTCATGGGGCTGAACACTGTTGATTCAGTGTTTCCTTCATACCCCAGCAAGGCCTTTCTGACCACCAGCCTGGTATGTGGGCATTGATCCATTTTCCAGGCTTATGGAACCTTTTAAAGCAATATCCATTTCTGTTCTGCAGCCCAACATTTCTGTTCTGCAGCCCAACATTTCAAGAAGTGAAAAGAAATCCGTGGAGGTTAAGAAATAATTACAAATCAACTATTAGAATTACAAATATTTTTACCCTGTGCTGTTGCTTAGTGGATTGAAAATTGAGCCCACTTGGATGAATTAAATGAAATGTGGGAAGAAGAATGCTGGGAAGTGATTAGCTGATCCGTCTGTCCTGGAAGTCTGGTTAGTCACTGCTAGGAAATTCATAGCACCCCTAAAGCCAAGTAACCAAATACTGGATGCACAGGATGTCTTCCTAGAGCCTGCACAGCTACTTTGAAAAAAATCCAGCTGTACAGTAAGCATGAAAATGCTCTTAAACTGGCATATCCCTGAATGTGTTAAATAAAAAATCTTCTATCAAATGCATTCTTTTAGGAGTGGGACAGAACTGAGTAAAGACATGTCAGGCAGAACAAGGTAATTTCTGGAATTCTGGCTCTGTGATCCCTCTCTTGAAAGAGAGACAACAGAAGCAGTTTAATTCCAGGAAAGGAAGCAGAGCAAATGTTTCTCCTTTGAGCAAGCAAAGAGAAGAGGGAAGCTGTGATCATTCCCTGCTCTGCCTGGGCTGCAGGGCAGCTCCAAGCTGTCTCCTGTGCAGGGCAGGCATTGGAATTGCAGCCAGCATAGTCCAGTGGGCTGCTCACTGCCCTGCCAGCTATGTTTAGTGGTGGGTATTTTCAGCAACAGGATTTTGCCTTGTAATCCACGTCACACAGCACCTGACTGGCAGATGTCTGGGTACACAGGGAGGCTGGGGGAATCAGTGGTTGGGGAGTGCTGGAGTTTTTTTGGATGTGACTATTTTGATCATATTGTCTTTATTCCAAGAGTGAACTACACCCACAGTTCTGGATGAATAAAAAGCCAGACCTTGCATAAAAACAATCAGTTTTCTAAAGTTGTTGAAATGGCAAGATCTTTAAAAATCTGTCAGTTCATTAATATATAATAAACCTATGCCAGCTTGCCCTGAAATAATTTAGTAGGTAAGATCTCATTTTGCTGATAACTAAATGAGTTTTAGAACATTCAGGATTTTTTTTTTTTTAAATCTTGTTTACATTTACAATTCCTCATAACTGTTTATGTCCATTTAATGACTAAAAAAGCATGTCCACAATCAGTCCCTGGCTGAATTCCTCTGAATAGTTCACTCATTCAGAGCAGCATTGGCTTAGTGCGTTGGTTCAGTGACCAGTGTGATTTTTGAATCAATGTAACACAGGAGAGGGTTTACATTACTGCTGCCACAAAATGTAATCAACTGCCTAGCATACTTGTCTGAAGAATTATTAAAGCATAGAATGCAAAGTGGCAGAAATAGAAGTATAATTCTAGTAAAATCATCAAAGGATGCAATAACCGAGTTAGAAAATGCAGTGACAGATCTAATTAACGAACTAAATTACAATTCAGTCCAAAAATAATTGTCATTAGAAGTAAAATCACATTTCTGTCTGAAGCGTCTCAGCATGTTTGCCATAGTGATTGCTAAAACTAGAAAGAAACCCACTCTCATTATTTTTTTAATGCAATTATTACACACAAAAATCAGTCATGAAATCGAATATGCCAGTTTAGCAAACGATTCTCAGCTAAGAGCCTTCCCTCTCACACCACAAGGTACAGATTTAGGCTGGTACTGCTGGCTTACAGCACTTTGTTTTTGTGCTCATGTTGGAGTCAACATTATTTTTGGACTGACTCCTTCCTCCCCAAGACCTCTTTGTATTCTGACTTTAAACAACAGACCGTTTAATTTTAATATTGACCTAATTGCACATCTGAATCCATTGGAAGCTGTCTAACAAAGCAAAAATACTAATAGGACATGTGCCAGGTGCAGTTTAAGTTGGGTTGCTTTTAATATAAGCTGAAGAGCTTTTGTATTAAGCTCTAACAATGGCTAATACAGATGCTGAGCTGATTACTTAAGCAACTTCTGGGTATATTCACATGTCAAATTTGAATTCCAAGTATTTTGCATACTGTTTCCACCTATATGACTGTCCACTGGCCCTTATCATTATTTATTATGCAAAACTGATTTTTTTTTTGAAGCGTGAAGAATGAAGTAATTTAGTATGCAAACAGTTAAAACTCTCATGTGGATTCTGATTTCGTATGTGTTGATAAATTCACTTACGATGACTGACAGTGTGAGATTTTTTGGGGTCATATCGGTCACTCTTTCCATGACACTGATGAAAATGATAAACTAAATGCCAGAAGTGTCCCTGGCGCATCATAGGATGAAATGTGTAAAATGTCAGTGTCTAGCCTGTGTCTATTAATAACTAAATATGATTGTGTGTAATGAGCAGAGATTTTCATGTTGATTGAAGTATGATTTCTTTTGATCTTCCAGATGTTGCTGCTTAGAAATTCATATTGCTCTTTTGCTGCTAAATGCATAATGACCTTTTAAAACCTTTTAACTGTTAAAACCCCTATTATTTTCAACAACATAGTCAAGTTTCCATCTTTTTTTTTTTAATGTTGATTGGAAGTTTCTCTCTCTTCCCATCCTCACCTTCCCTTTTGCTTTCTTTTCCTCTCTCTTTTTTAAACCCTTCTTTTCCTCTAATACATTTCTCCAGCAAAGTTCCTGACATCACACAGACTCCTGTGCTCAGAGGGGCAGACAGCATAAGAGGGCAGGACCCTGTTGTCACTTTTGTGTCACTTCTACCCCCTAAATGTCCCAGGCTGTTACCCAGCATTGCTGGAAAATTTGTCCTGAGCAACCATTTCAGGCAAACACCCAGGTCACCTCACTCCTGAGGTAGAAAAGGAACAAAGGCAGGTGTCAGAAATGAAGAATCGTGTAGCTGACGTTGATAGTGGAGTGATCTGCTCTGAAGAAAGGAATTGTGGAGCATTGTAAGCTTTCTGCATGAATAATGCATTTGTGTCGCTCATTTTTGGGCTTAGTCACACCCTGCCTTCCACATTTGGCCCCTTTATTGTTGCACCTGTGCATGAATGGTGAGTGCCTGAGAGCCTGCAAGAATAAAACCAGTCCCTGAGTAAAGGCAGCAGCAGCAGCAGCAGCAGCAGCAGCAGCAGCAGTAGCAGCAGTGTAAACATCTCTTCATTATTCAGCTTTTGTGCCAATCCCACGTTGGCACAAGGCTGTCTCTGGCCTGTGTGACTCAGCCATGGGAATGCAGGAGCTGTTCTGCACCCTGAAGGTGTTTCAGGCACTTGACTGATTCGGTCAGCAAAGAAAGAAATCTCTACTCCTTGCACTTCTGCAAGTATGAATTTAGGATGCTTCAAGGGCTCTGAAGAGGCCTCACAGTGCCCAGGTTTCCTCCTCATCACTGTACCACTCCAGCCCTGTTCACACCAAAAGGGCCTTGGGACATTACCCAGTCCAAACTCCCATTTCAAGCAGGGCCAGCACTGGCTTGAGACCTATTTCACCCAACCCATTTCCAGTATTTAGGAGAGGTCTGGAAGAAGAGCTGCACCTGGCTTGTTATGTTTGGAAAGGTGAATACTTATCAAGGGTCAAATCTTCTTTATAGCCTCACTCTGGGCAAATGCATTGTCTTTCAGCAGGACTCCTATAAATCAACATGAGGATAAATCTACTTGAAACAGTTTCACCAATTCACTGTAAAATGTTCTATCTAAATACTTCCAATCCCTTCTTTGGGCCCACTAGGAGTTGGTTCAGCTCTTCTCATTACCTGGATGCTGGCACAGGGCCATGCCTCAGGTGTTTTGTGTCCTCTGAAATGGGGAGGTGGCTCATGGATCTATTTAAGCTGTTGTGTTACAGCTTAAGTGCGCCACTTCTGCTTGGGCAGTACATAGGTGGAAGAGGCAAGAAAGCAAAGCATCTAGCAAAAGAAATCCCACCTCACCAAGATTTTTACACCTTGTTTCTAGAAATATTCAACATAGAAAACAAATTATTTTGGTTTGGATTACAGATTCTGTGGCAAATATGATGCACAGAGCCAAATCCAGGAAGATCTAGACCCTTGGAGGCCCAGACCAAGTCTACCATGACAGGTAAAGAGTGTCTGTAGGAGATGATTATTTAGTGATTAAAAATGCTGTCTGTCATATGGCATCACTGCAATGTCATTGTGAAAATAGATGCATTTTTACTGGTGTCCCTGTGGTTTTGTTTGTCCCTAATGCAATAGTGACAGTCCTGGGGCCCTATTGCTCTCAGCTACCTCTGGTTCCTGTGCAATGTACTGTGTCCTTCATTATATATTCTGGTCCCATCTGGTCTGACAAGCTTTCTCCATCCTCAGAAGTGATTACAAATAATAATGATGACAAAACCCAGAGAATTTTTGCTTTATTTTGAAAATTATTGTTTTGTGTTGCATGGTGGTGCTTCCTGCCTCTCTCTGGGGTCGCCTGGCAACCATTTGCAAGGCTCCTGCCATCAGCTCCATATCGAGCAACGGCATCTGGAAGCTCGTTTGGGGTAGGAACTGCTCCCTTTCACCACCCCTGCTGGCCTTCTGTGGGCAGAGGTGAGGTTACTGGGCATGCAGTGGATTCATGACCATCACTCTGATAGAGGCTATTTAAGCACATTGTAGCAGCTTCATTTGAGTGTTGCCAAAATATTAAAAGAAAAGCTGGTGATAATACAGTATCAACCACCAACACTGCATAATTAAGCATGCATTATTTGCAGTTGATGTTTGTCTGTTTAATAGAATTAAGGATAATTAAGAGGAAACAGTGAGGAGATATCTCTGCACAATATAGCAATCTACCAAAGCAAGTGAAACAGGGAAAGCAATGTCTCTAAGTAGGATTGCCTACCCTGTGTGGTGTTTGTTCCTTTGTTTCTTCAATGGGTCACTTATATATTAAAATTATATATTTGTATATGTACATGCATACATACATGGGTTAAATGAAAAAGGGACAGATCATGCCTAAGGCACATTAAGGTTTTATAAAGGCATGCTCAAATTTTGAGAGTGGAGGCATTTGCTACATAGGGCTAAGATGGACATATCCCAACTTTCTCTCATCCAGCATCCTTTCCTTTGTTTTCACAGAGATGCCCTGTGACTGCTCCTGTCTGATCACATTCCCCACTCTCCTCACCCTGAAGCTAACATCTCTGCACTGGCTGGAGTAAGTCCAAAGGTTGTTAAACACTGGTCTGGCCACTGGCTTTTGCTGCAGGAGTGAAAGTGGATGAATGCCTTGTGCCCATCCATACCTTGCTATGAGCTCCTTCTTCTGACATCCTACCTTGGGGCTAAGCCTCCTCCCCTGGCTGTGGTGCTACAGATATAAATCACCTTCTGTAGCTGGGTAACTCTTTACTTTAAGGGCCTGTTCCTTTAAGCAAAAGCAGTAGGAGAGGTGGAGGAAGTGTGGCTGAGATGTGTTTACTTGAAACATCCAGAGCTCTGAATATATCACCAGCACGGGCCAGAATGGCCTGGGGAACATCTGTGCTTCAGATTTGCCCAACAAAGACAAATACGTCTCACTCAGTGCTTTGTTCTTATATAAGTTTCCATATTGGTAGAAATAATTCAATGTATCTTGGTAATTCTGTTAAGGCAGGCTCACCAGTTTCCCCACTTCAGATTCAATAGTAATTGTGTTGATATTACCTGCAGGTATCTTTGTAGGATAATGCTGTTAATGTCACTACTCCAGAAGCTTTATCAATACATTAATTGGTGCAGGAAAGTTGACAGCCTGCCCTTACCAGTGCCTTGCTTTGAGCAACCTGAAACTGAAATGATTATTTGAAATTATTTTCATTTTTGAGGGTAGTGCTCTGCAGAGGGACAGCAAGAAGCAGCATCCTTAAATGGCAGCCAGGTTTTCTGAGTGGGTAACTAATGCAATCACTGTTTTTGTTTGTTCCTGTAGTGAACACTACCCAAGGGCTTTGGTGAGGATTAGGGTCTCTGTGCTCAGTACCATGTTACAAACAGCTTGCAATCAAATGTGGATTCATATATAAGAAAATGTATGAATAAAGTACTCCCTTTCAGAAAAATTGAATTCCTTTCCCAACACATCAATAAGTGTCCTCAGACAGAGGTGGTTGAAAAGAAGAGACAGCTGCCATGGTGTGCAGCAGAGCTTCCTGACAAGGATCCTACATCCTGAAAGACTCCAGCAAGGTGAGTCCCTGCAGTAACACAGACCTTTGGGGCAAAAATGTGCTCCAAGATAGAAACTTACTGCTCTGGCTTCATTCCTCCAGCACTGCCTTTGCAGACAGGCAGAGCTGGTGCTTCCCTGTGGCAGCAGTGGCTGGCAGACTGCCTTGCTTGGACAAGGCACGTGATAAAGTGCCTTCTCCCCAGTCCCTGCCTGGCCAGTCTCTGTTGCACAGAGGCTAGCAGATACTGTCACAGACAATGATTACTCTCCTTCCCAAGCTTGTCCTGTCCCTTTCTCACCTCATCTATTGTTCCCACTCACAAAGTTTTCAGGTAGATGGCTCAGAGACAACTTAGAAATGCAATCTTTCCCCAAACTGGTGTCTCCCAGCTTTTCCTGTAGTGAACACATACCTCTAAATACTCTTAATATATATATTGTTTTCTTTTGGTTTTGCAGAATTGAATTTTACCTGTATTAAGGATTAGCCTTGAGCTGACTTTGCACTCTTAAGCTCTGCTGAGAGCTGATCCTGAATTGTAGATTTTGCCTGGATTTTGCAGAGTTCTCTGAGGTCTAGACCTCCTGACACTGCACAAAAAGCCCTGAAGAGGTACCACAAAGGGGTAATGAGCACTACTGCATGGAAAGGTGGTAGAGGCCCCATCCCTGGAAATAGGAATGTTGACAGGGCTCTGAGCTACCCGATTTAGTGGATGATATCCTTTCTCATTCTAAGGGGGTTGGATTAGATGAACTTTGAAGGTTCCTTCTAATCCAAACTATTCTGTGATTTTATGAATCTATGAAAGAGGCCTGAATCCAGCTATCCAGCTGCTCTAGCTTGCATGTATGGTTGAAATTTTAGAGGCACGAGCAGAAGGAAAAAGAGATGGATGCAGCTACCTAAATGTTTGTAGAAAATTTTTTTTCTTTTTTTTTAGATTGCAGCCTATACAAAGGCATAAGCAATGATAAAGACTTCCAGAGGTTTCTCCTGCCTTTTATACTGGTGATGTGTGAGGAAGGAAGAGGAGACTCACTGGAAATGTTAGTTGTCTTCGTGCCTTTGAAATCTGCTCCATCACCCCTTTCCATAATGGCAGGATTCTAGTACTGGATGGTGCCATTTGCTTTGTTATGAACTATGTGGCAGCAGTTAGAGCGCTGATTTAAAATGGGGATTATCTAGCTCTCAGCTTTCTCCTGATGCAGGAAAAAATGTCCTAAATGTCCTCCCATTTCCCAGATCTCCAGCCCTGATTGACTGTATCCTGGGTGAGAGCAATCACCAACTCTTCTTTCCAAGCCATGCCATGGTCAGTCATCAGGCATGCACAAGTTTTGCTATGGCTTTCTCCTAGCTTTTATCCAGTCACTCTGAACTCCACCAGCGGATCTGCCCCAGCATGGTGCAGCCACAACAGCAACAGGGAAATGGCTGCACCACCGTGGTGCAGGTGTGAGAAGTCCTGGCTCATATGGAAGCTGAGAGAGGGTGCAGGTGCCTGTTGTGCTGTGCTTGGGCTGCTTTAGGATCAGTAATCTCAACCATGCTGCCTGCACCAGCCACTGCAGCAAAGAGTGTGGGCAAAACTGAGGCTAAACCTCTGTGGATTTAGCTGTCATCATCCAAATATGAAACTGTTGAAAAGGAGCAGTTTTGACAAACTGGACCAGTGTCTGATATTTGTAAACCAGCATGTGTCTGTGTTCATATTTATTCACACCATTCTTCAATGCTCCAGTTTCTAGATTGGTGTGAGGATAGTTCCTTGGAAATTAATAACTGTTAGAGCTTTGTGGCTCAGTGAGTTGTTTACTTCCTTACATCATTAATACTATCCTTGTAGGGAGGAGGAGTGTTCAAAATAATAAACACTCTTTCCTTCATTAACATGCTGAAGGCTGTGGAAGCAAAAGCAAGACATGACTGCTAGTTACTGTGAGGCCTGAAAATACACAGCTCCCAGCTGGTGCTTCAGTCCATGCTCAGGTCTTTTCTCCTTGCTGTCATAAAAAAGTGATATAATCACACAAGCCCAAGTTTGCATCTTTTCTGGCATATTGACTGTTCTGCTGTCTGCCTGTCTATCTGTATATGTATTGTATACACATCACTTATAAAATATGCTGGATTTGACATATTTGGTGTGGGTATCACTCATTGCAGGAATTCACCCTGAGCACTGGTCCTTGGTGGGGTGCTGCCTCAGTAGGTGGCACTATTTCCTCTGGATTTAGGACCAAACTGAGTCCCAGCACCATGTGTGGGAGCTTTGAGGCCCAGTTTGAGTCAGTTATCAGGGCTGGTTGCTTCTGTGCAGGACATGAAGCAGCACTTCTGGCCATGGGTGAGAGGGGTCTTGATTTTGACATCGTAGCCAAAATTAACTTCTGTCTGATTCTATAAATCTCTTTTGAAAATTCATCTGGCTATTGCATTGGGTTTTTACTTTACAGCCTAAAAATTGCTGTCTGGTATTGAACATGTTGTAGTAACTCTCTTAAACTAGTTATTACTAGCTACCCCAGAAATGGCTGCATTCCTACAGTAGAAATATGTCCCTATACATTCCTCCCCTCATAATGTTGAATCTTAATTAATTGCTGCTTATAAAGTGCTTTCATATTCCCAGAGGGGGAAAAAAAAGTAGGGAAGTGCAAAGTATTGTTAATTGTTATTTTAGCACTTTAAAAGCATGAACCTGGCCCTGAAAACTAGCCACAAAATAATACACTAATTCCAAATTCTGCATGAGAAAACTCAAGGCCACAAGGGAATTTGAAAGGTTCCTAATTAGGCAAAACTCACAAGGCAGACAAAAACTGGAAGACAAAGGTTAAACAAAAGAGGCAAGAATATATTTCACAGGAATCCAAAACACAAGCAGAGAAATGCAGTGAGGGACAGATACTGGTGTGGACCCGAGGCCAGGTGCAGATGCCCAGGGGAGATGCCTGCACATTAGCATACATCACTCTGCTACACGTGCTGGGCAAACCCAGGCCTGAGGGAGCTCAGCAACTTGCTGGAGTGACACCAGGGATTTGCTTGGCCCGTTTTGTTTTGCTGATATCACAAGAGTGGAGACAGAGAATTAGGCTGGCACTGATAACTGCCTGCCATGCACTCAGGAGAGAGGGTGATCATTTGTGTGCTGTTGGCTCTGCCCCTTAGGGTCTTTGGATTTTGTGGTTTTTTCCACCCATATTATTATCCTTGCTATTTTTAGAAAATTCTGTAGAGAAAGAACAAGTTGTTATAAATACTAACTTAAAATAAAAAAGTGAGTAAAAGCTTTGGGGCCGGATTTACAAGGACAGATCAGGATACTACCAGCCATTTTATGCTCTAAGTCTAAATGTAAATTTTTTAAGGCTCTCCTCTTCCCTTTAATTAAATTTATTTAAACAGGAAATGTTTAATTCCCTAAATACAAAAGTTTCCACTGGACAGTTTTTCCAGGTGCTATGGCACTGTGCTTGCACAGATAGAACTTCACTTGCAATTTGATTACTCTTGAGGTGCTTGACATTTGTTTCACTGACAAATTTTCTCTCTTTCCCAGAATACCCAAGCCTGAAGCCATCCTTTTCCTTTCCTCCATATCCCTGCATCTTGTCACAAAACACAGCCAAACACTGCTCCCTGCTACACATGCAAACCCCAACTCTTCTGAGTATCCCTAAGACAAAATCCCTGCTTTGTGTGTTTTGGGACAGAAACTCACAGCCAGTTTATGGAAACTTTCTGCCAGTGGGGTACTGACTGAGATAGAATGTGGCTGTCCCAGTCAATCCCATAAATTATCCTCAATGTAATTTTCCTTTGCATTTGCAACTCGGTATGTAGAGACTAAGGCAGCCAGCCCTGCCTCTCCTCCAGTGCAGGTAAGGATCCAACCCTCAAGGCTGCAGAATCAACTCTTTACGGCTTCTTGTTCCCTGTGCCTTAATGAATATGTATGTTTTTATTGCAGCATGGAATAGCTCAGGTCCCATGAGCAAAGCAAGCAGGGAAATGTTTGATTTGTGAGCCTGAGATAGGGAGCAGCAGTAGTTGAAATTCAGGTGCCACAGGGATTTCTGTGCAGGAGGAGAGCCATGGTATCTATATTATTTAGGTGCCAAGGAGGTCTGGAAGATGGCTGGTTTTGAAGTTAGCACATAGACCTGCAGTTATACACCTCCAGCACCCCAGTGAATCAAGCCCCAGAGGCTTCAGCACAGTATGCAATCCATATTCACATATTTTCATTATTCGAAAAGGTTTTTACCTTGCCTGGAAATTAAGCACAAAGGGCCTAATTCTGGATGTTGCATGGATATAACCCTTGGCAACTATCACTGAAGCTGATCAGTAAAACAGTGTTTCACTTTTGCCTCTTTGAGAATGGGATTTGTTCCAAACCTAACCAGATAATTGTCATCAGACTGATCCATACACTGCATAAGAAAGTGTCTCTTGTTTTACCATTGCCACTGCATTTCCTCTTTAGACATTCACTGCATATCTGAAGGCTCCACAGTTTGCACAAAAAATAAAAAGCTACTCTTTCCTTGCTAGTCTCTTACTGATGTTACCTGTGCTCAGGATGCAAAAGTCAGTGTTCATTTCACATCCCTAGAAGTTGTTCAGGCCATGTTGGATGAAGCTCTGGGCAACCAGGTCTAGAGAAATGTGTCCCAGCTAGAGCAGGATTTGGAACTCGATGGTCTTTAAGGTCCTTCCCAACCAGACTATCCTTTGATTCTGTGATGAGTCTATGATTTTCTTGACATAAAATATGGCATATAAGTGTAGCACCCTTAAGCAAATGCCACAAATACTTTATAGAGAGGTATAGCATCTCTCTCTTGGGCTGATCTTTGCTTAGTACATGCACATTTTTTAATGCTAAATATTCCCAAGAAAAGGTTAAGACCAGAGTTGTTTTTCATTTTTTTTTCCTCCAATCAATCAAGCCCAGGTACTTAGAATAAGGTTTTGTGAGGCAGCTCAGC